ACTTCTCCTGAAGGTCAGTTCTTTTTCAGCATTAGAAAGCAGACTCTATTCCAAATAAAAAACATTAATTATGTGGCTAAAGTGCATTGGCTGTAAATAGTGGAAAAAAACTCCACATTTTGACTTTCAGAATTTCTACCACGTTTCAAATGAAATTCAGCCCAGCTACTCTGGACATCCTGCAATTAAGCATCCTTGCTCTTGGCTGACAACATTAGTTGGTTTTTGCAGCCTTGCCCTCCTGTCTGCCCTCCAGGCTCCTCAACAGAACAGTTTCTTTCTACTCTCTCTGCACAACCTCTGTGTCTCCTTACTTAATCAGTCCCAGGCTCCTGCCTCCAAACACCAGTCCCAGCTTTTCTCTCTGGCTGGCTTGGCTGCTTCCATTGCCTGCTCTGTCACAGGCTGGTTTTTTTTTCCCCCTCTGTATTGTATTCACACGGAGACCTTTCTTCCTGACACAACCTTCAAATCGCTTGGAGCTCAGAAGGGATAGGATTCCTACCTCTCAGATTCTGTGCCAAAGCTCAGGCTCACGGGGGAAACTTGCATGTGGGGATTAAAGTGGAAATCTAGCCTCACCACTGTATCCTTAAGCTTCTGTTTGCAGAGAGAGCCAACCTTTAGCAATGCCTTTTTCTTGCTAGAATAAAAGAAATCATTGCTGGCCATCCGTTCATGATACAGTTTCTAATATTTGTAAGTTAGACACATTTAGATAAATTTTCAGTCAGAGGGGGAAAAATATATTTTAAATAAAAAAGGTCAGATTTTGAGGCCGTGCTTCAAAGCCTGAGGGCAGCAGAGCATTTCAAAGGAAAAAAAGTTTCCATTTTAGTATGAGCAAAACTGTTTCTTTTTCCATAACCTTGTTCTTAGAAATGGACAAATTGTTTTGGCAGGTATTTTCAAAATAATCTGCCCAGTACAGACAGTCAGCATATCAATTTTCAGCCTAAGTGATGATGTTTTTTCTAAAGCTACATGCAACAGAAAATATGGCCTCTGCTGAGAAATGTTTGCTAACCCCAATACAGGGAATGGCAGCACATCTACCTTAGAATATGCATTATCACAGATTATGTCCTCTGAGTATTTATTGGTTTTTTTCAAATACCAATTGCCTCATGGAAAGGCAGTAGGGTCAGTGACTCTTACTTCCATATTTTAGAGGCAGAGAAGCTAAAATAAGAAGGGGAAAGAAAAATCAGGGATAGAATAAAAAAACTGGTCTGCTCCTTAGTCCCCTGTTTGTGCACCCATTGGTGCCACCTCTGAAGGGTGTAATTTGTGCAGTGGTCCTCTGGTCTAGAGTATTGCAAGTGTTCTTTACACTGCACAGACATGCACATCTGAATAACATCCCTAGTGCAATTACTGTGATTTAACTCTCTGTGATCCAAAGTTTTGGGGGCTGTAAGAGAGGGCACAGCAGGTGCAGGAGATATCTTCAAATAATTGTTCAATTCAGCTATGAGCAGGCAGCCTCCACACTCAGCTTGTATGAGTACATCAGTATAGTATAAAAAACCCAAAACTGAAATGTTTCTGTAACATCTGATGAAACTCAGGGACAAGGCCCTGTGGGAGAGGTGTGAGGGGAAAGCTGTGGTAGGGCTCCACCAAGACTAAGCAGGTTGCTGGTGTGACCCACTGAGTGATGGTCACTGCTTTTGCTGTTGCTCCAAGTTCTCTGGCTGAGGTGAACCCCAACAAAGGCACCAGCCAGAGATGCTGGAGGCCTCAGGCAGACAAGCTGCATAAAAGTTCATGCACAGTCTGGCTCACTTGGGAGAGTAAGAAGCACAGTTAAGTGTTAACAGTATGTGATGAGATAGCCCCATGCAGACCAGAATACTCCACTATAAACCATCCCACCAGCAACAACAAATTCCTCAGCTTAAACTTCGGCTCTCTTCAGAGGGGAAAAAAAAAGAAAGGAAAGAATTGCCAAATCAAACTGCTGACTCCTTTTTTCTTATCAAAACAGCACAACATACATCTTAACAGCCTGAAGTAAATCAAACGCAGGACCAGCTGGAACTGGCCAGCTCTTGACCCTCCATTGATATCAAGTGTGTGCCGCACTTCTCTGGCAGATTAATTTGTGATCTCAAGTAACTCAGAGCCCCTAAAACTTTCAGTACAGCTGTTAAGACAAGGCTGAAGGTTTTCTTGGAAAGTGTTGCCACTAAAAAAATGTTGGAGTTCTTTTCACTAGGCAGAGATACTCCATTACTGATGTCAAATGACTTTGTTACCTCTATATGTCTTATTTTTAAATTCACACACAGTGGACTGTAGGACAAAATTCAGACTTATAGCCAAAGTCTGCAGCTATGCATCTGAGTGACTGGCTGTCCCCTTTTGCACATGGAGCTTCCTCTTGGGGGAATTTGGGAGTGTTCACAGAAATGCATCCATAAAGAAACCTTTCAGCTTGGGAAAAAAATGGTAGAAGATCTGGGAAAAGTAGCACAGAGCGCATGGAATTGAGGGCAGCTCATAGATGGCAGCTCCGAGGAGAGCATGCCTGTGTGTGTGATCAATATAATCTATTGCGAAAGAGAGCCTCCGTGTTTCTGTGAGGAAAAGGGATTTAGGAAGAAGGTCTTTAATTATTACCTGCAGAGAAGTTAAAGTGTAACTTGGCAGTAACGTACTCCAGTGCCAGTTTTGGGGTGTGGGTGCTGTGTCAGGCATCCAGCCTGCCTGAAGTGTGGATGTGAATGGAAAAAAAAAAATTAAAACCACATTTAATTTAACCATGAAGGGCAAAAATAATACAAAGCAAGCACTGACAAAACAACAGCAGAAAGAAAAGGAGTTTATCTTTCAGGCTGCTGACCTCTCTTTGTGCTTCGTGTGGGGGAGCTGCCGAACAGGGTCTGGAGCTTGTAGCACCCACGCGAGTTCTTGTGTTCACCCCCTCACTGGTGTTTGTACCACGCCTCCCATAGAGCCCAAATCCTCCGCCTTTCTGCCACGGCCTTTTCCTCGCACACGCTGCTCAGGGGCTCCGGTCATAACGCCCCGCCCGCTCCGACCGCCTCCCCCCTTCCCGGGGCTGCGCGGCCGGCGGGCGAGCGCTGGACTTGCGCATCTCCTCGCCCCTTTGGAAAATCACCTCTTCTCTACAAAAAGGGCAAAGAGAGACCTGGGGTTTCCAGGGTCATGCCGATACGGCGGTGTATGTATATATACACTTCTTTTTTTTTTTTTTTTAAAGGAGTTTTGGTTCTTCGGCCGGTCAGTGTGTTAATTAAAAGTTGGTCCAGGTTGCTCACTTGCAGTCCCAGATGCGCTATTAACACATAGGAAAATTACTGTTTTTTTAAAGATACCAATGCAAAACCTCGATAGAAACCCCAATTCGTCCTTGCTATTAACTAGCAGTGGCACAGAGAAAATCATTACAGCTATAATTAAATATGAGTCTATTTTTGAAGAATGTCTTGCAAAATAGCCCCAAAATATGATGTAGTAATTTAATTTTTTTTTCCTACTACAGGTGCTAGCTATGTTTTCCCTCCATTTCCCACACCATGTATATTAAACAGGGAGGGAACATTGCTCTGTTGTAGGTGATGACCCCAGACTTCGCCAGAATATTTTCCTCCTCGGTATAAAATTGTGAAGTGGGTCTCTCTTTCAAAATCTCTATATTGGTTTTTATAATTACTTTGTGGTCTAAACTTCTTTGCAATGTATTTCTTAAAGGATGAAAAAAAAATCATGAAAGGAAGCGGGGGTTGGGGGGTGTGGGGGGGGAGGGAGGAAGAAAGAAACAAAGTTAGTTGTATTAACATTAGTGTTCGTCTAGTCCAGGCTGTCAGTAACTTTCCCTGGATCGGGTCCTATGCTTCCACAGGCGCCCTGCTGAGGCGCTCGGCCTGACCCCGGCCCCTCGCAGGCCTGGTGCCGCTTCCCCCCGCGCTCCGCCGCGTCCCCGCCTTCGGCCCTCGCTCCGCGGAGCACTTGTGCTGCGCGCCGCGGAGTGTGATCTGTCACATTCCAATGGAGAGCTAAATAACTCCCAGTGTTATTTATTGCAGAAAAAGAGGAAAGAAAAAAAAAAAAGAAAAAGAAACCAAGGAAAACAAGTAGATTGCCCCCCGCCCCTTTCATCCCCAAGATTTTATTCTTTCTTCTGGAATATTTTCTCCGCGGCCGGTAAAACGCAGTTCACGGCTTGGCTTTGCTTTGCTTTGCCCTCGGCCGAGGCTGACCCCCGCAGTCCCTCCGGGACAAGCAGCCGCGGCCGGAGCCCAGCGCCGGAGCGGGGAAATCGTCGGAGCCTCCGCGGCCGCCAGACCCGAGCCGAGCCCAGAGCCCCGAGCCTGCGAGGCGCTGGGATTTAAACCCGGCCCGCTCTTGCTGTTACCAAGAGTGCGTGTCTTGTTGGTTTGGCTTTTTATTGGTTTTTGGGGTTTTTTTTCCTTTCTCCTTTGTAAGATACGGAAGGTGAATAATGAAATCCCTTCGCTAATAGTTTATGAGCCATGAGATTGGAAATGTGCGCGGATGGATCAGCGCGCCGGGCTGCGCGTCGCTCGGGGGCTGCGGGAGCCGGGCGCGGGGAGGAGAGGGACCGACTGCCGGGGTCGCCGCTCCGGCAGCGGAGCCGCCACCGGGGCCGGGGGCCGAGGGGGCCGGGGCTGCCCGTGCGGCCGCTGCGTGTCCGTGCCCGGGCACTGCCCCAGCGGGGCCACGGGAGGGACAGCGGCTCAGAGCGAGAGGGCTCGGGGGGCGCTGCCTCGGCCCCGTGCGCTGCCTCGCACGGGCGGCCCCGCGGGCAGCACAAAGGCAGCGTGAGCCCGGCCCGGCGCCTCCGCCCAGGGGCGTGGGGGCGAGCGGGGAGCGACCTTTAGAGCCACTTTGGAGGGAGCTGGGGGCGCGCCTCTGGCAGAGGGGGACGAAAGCTCCTTGCCTCGGCGATCCTGCGGCAGGTCATGTACGCGGGAATGGGGCAGGAGCGGGCGGGAGCGGTGCGTCCCGATGCTCGCGCCTGTACAGGAGCGGACATTTCCCATCAAGCCCTTGCCACAGGATGTCCGAGAGCATCGCTACCTCCCTGCCATAAAAACAAACCACTCATCAGCTCCGCTCGGTGTGTGCCATCGAGAGAAGTCGCCGCGGTGCGAACGGGCACCATCTGTCCTGCCATTCCTGGAGACGCAGATATATTTCTTTAGACAGGTCAGCACTTCTTCCCGGCCAGCCCTGTCAGGCACCTGTCAGGGGAGAAAACCTCTTCATAGCTGCCGCGGTGGGATGCTTATCAGCGGCAACCCCTTTGCTGACAGGGCCCAGCCTTAAGCTTCCCGCAAATCAATGTCCTCGGGGGACGGCGAACGTTCCGCTACCGCTCAGACCTCCGACAAAACACGGGAGGGAGGGAGGGAGGGAGGGAGGACGGCGGGGGAAGCCGGCTCCGACTAGTCCACCCCCGAGGAAGGCCGAGGTGGGCTCTGGAGCAGGGGTTTCTCCCGTCGGGCCAGCCCCGCTGCCCACCCGCGGAGGGCCGGGCCCCGGGCGCCCGCAAGGACGAGGCTCCCGCGGCGCCCACGCGTGCCCGGGGCACAGGACAGCGGTGTGGGGGGACTGCACCGCGGAACCCCCACAGCCACGTGTGTCAAGGCGCTTTCTCTCGAGTGGGACCATCGCTCCGTGGCTGACCCAAAGCCCCAGTCACACACTTCGTCCCTACCAAAGTACCGCCTTCTTTCCTCCTCCCCCCACCCCCCCAATAATTCCGACCTGTTTTCTTTCTGTTCCTCACTTGTTTTCAAAATAAGGGCACGTTCAGGGAAGCCTGCCTGCCTCCTGCACTTCCACACGGTATCGAGTGGTCATCTCCCCACCAACCTCCCAAAAAAAAAAAAGAGCAAACCAAACCAACAACAGACACCACCACCAAAAAAGAAACCTCAAATGCGCCGTGTGATCCCAACTTGGAGTTAAAGTCGGTGCTAACACGGGTCAGTTCCTGCCCCTAGCTGGGAAGGCAGGGAGGAGGATGTAACGTATGGGTTGGTGGAGGTGGCGGTGGGGGGAGAAATAAAAACAAGCCCCAAAATAAACAAACAAACAAATCTCGCGCACTATCACAATAAAGAGAAATTCCTTTCTACACACCCACAACTTTAGCTCTGTCTGCTGCCTGGGGGGTTTTAATATTGCAAAGAGAAAGGGGGGCTCCCTGCGCAAAATTACGCCTTCTCCTCTCATTTGTTAGCTGATTCCATCAAAAAGTTCGCTATTTATAGGCTACACACACGAACCTGGAGTAATACAAACCCTCCTGTGTTGTTGCCCTCGCAAAGTGGCCGGTCCTGCTGCATCTGATCGGGTTTGTGTGTGCGCGCGAGTGAGAGCGAGCCACGCAGAGAGCGCTGCCATCCGAAAGGGGAAAGAAGAGCTCAAGCTGAGAGACTTATTAATTGCTAAGAGCTGCTCTGCCACCAGCCATGTGAGTACCTAACAATGATCACCTTTTGCACAGATGGTCAGCGATCAGGCACAGACACTTTCTGTCCTTTTCCTCCTCCCTCCCTTTTCTTATTTTTTAAATTCCCCTCCTGTATCCTTCCCACCCACCTTTCTTTTTTTTTTTCCTTCCCTTTTTTTCTTTTTAGTTTGAGTTTGCACGATTTATTCCTCATGAAGAGGAGGAATGAAACGTGGGCAAACGCGGGGGAGAAAATGTGCCGGCCAAGAGGAAGGAAGGAAGGAGTGGTGAAGGGAGAGGAGGAGGGTTTGTTAAGCGATCGCCTTGTCCCCTGAGTCCGAGCCGGCTGGGAATTAGTAACAGCGAGATAGCGGAGGTTGTATCCCTCCCTCTTCCTCCGCTTTCCCTTTCCTGGAGCGCTCAGACCCCCTGACAATTATTACCCTGGTATCAACGCGGACAACGAGCTGTATTCATCAAACCTCATTTGGGGAAATTGAAAGGGAATTAAAAATAAATAAATAGAGAGAGAAAGAGAGAGAGAGATCACGCGGGGATAGGGGGTTTGATCGCTCCGCGTACAGCAATGACTGTCCGTCAGCTCCCAGCCCGCTGTGCAGGCAGGTAGAAAGCGCCCGCAGAGCAGCCCAGTCCAGCGGGCTGAGCGTGCGATTTTGGGCGGGGGGGAGGGGGAGAGAGAGCCCCGGGCCCTCGCCCCCACCGCCTCTTCCCCAGCGAAGGGGCAACGAGGGGCACGGGGGGCGACAGGCAGCGCCTTCCCGGCAGTGCCAGACCCCGGCGTGGCACAGCGCGCGAACCCAAACCCCACGCAGCAGGCAGGGCACGGCACGTGGGTCTGGGGGATTGCACAGCTGTTTCCTGAGCTGGCAAAAAAATGCAGGCTCGGAAAGGTAGGTGTCCTGGTTTGTGCAGGAATGCAGGGCTGGGAGATTCCGCGTGGAAAGGGGGTGGGTGTAGAGAGAGAAAGAGAATTTTTTTCCAGCGTGGAGAGGCGCTTTTCTAACCCGACACTCGAGCTCCAATCACACACTCTGAGGTTAGCGTAGCATTAAATTAACAGACAGGGTCGGGGTTATCCAGGGCATTATACCTCGTGCCCGGGATGTAACCTCTGCTCATTTGTACACAAAGAAGAGGGAGAGACGGAGTTACATCAGGAAAACCAAAGAGCACGGTGAGTATCGGTATTCGCTGCTCTCCCTCCCATTCTGGGAACAAAGTTCAAAGGCGGCCGGTGCGGGACTGGGGCTGGCTCCGCCGAAACCCCCGCTCCCTTTGGAGGCGGCAGCGCAGCCCCTCCGGGGCGAGCCCTCGCTGAGCAGCAAGGAGAACCTGCGGTATCTTGGTTAGAACTTCGCTACTTTATGTAGAGAGGAAAAAAAATAATAATAAAAAAAAAAGATTGACTTGGATGCAGCGCTATTTATAGGTGGCGGTAAAGGCTCCTTTTCAATAAGCAGCCGTGGAAAAGAAACGTCAGAAAACTGGCTGCTTTATTGATCCGAAGCGCTGGACGGTCACAGGCACGCCAGCCATGCTGCACCTACGAAGTTGCGTCTCCTCTCGGGTTAGGCAGAGAGAAGGGGAATAGGGTGCGGGTTTTGCTGACCACTAGTTTGGACACGATTCAGTTCCCATGCACAGGTAGAGGGCAAAAGAGTGTGAGATGGAAGACTTTTGCCTTTTGTGACAGACACGCACACAATGCTGGGCACCCGCAGGGCTGAAAGTGGGCCAGGGCTACACTGTAGGTATCAGATCACAAAAAGCAGAGGAAAGAAATCCAGTTAAAAATACATTAGTTGAAATCAGAGGACGAGCTTGATTTTTTTTTTTTTCTTTTAAACAAAGGTGCACGTTAGAACAAGCTGGAAGCACTCTTTGTGCCTTACGGTGTCCCCCACGCCCAATGGAAATAAAGCAAGAGGCTTGATCTTTCTTTGCATCTTTTAAACCTTGTTTTAATTAGAGTTGCCAAAGTAGGACACCCCGGTGGAAGATGTTTTCAAGTATCCACCTACCTCTCTGCTGTAAGCAGAATTGCTGTCTGCTAAATTGCTTGAAACGCAAAATTCTGCCCCACCCCCAGCTTGGTTTGGCACCTACTCACTTTTTCCCCCCGAAATTGCAATCGTTTATGAAAGATTACTCCATTGGGAGGAAAAGAGAAACCCCAAACACCCAGCAGTAATGAGATCAGTCGATTCCGAGAGCCTCGCTTTACTCTGTACAACAGGAAAGGCTTTGGACAGAGAGCGTCCCAAAAAAGTAATGCCTTTTCCTTTCTTTCTTTTCTTTTTTGAAGTCCCAGATTGGGCGTGTCCTTACCTTTCTCCTTTAATTTATTTGATTAAATCATAACCAAAACAGACTCATCAGCTTCTCGTATTTCCTCAGCTGTAACCATACGCGAAACCTCTTATATGGAGACAAGTAATTGGCTTTAGTTAACTCAGGGCATAGGCTGCGCTCAAGTTGTTCTCCCTCTCGTTCCCAGGGCAGTGTTTCACGCAAACGCATGTTCCAGCTCTGCCTCACTCTCCTCTGTCGCCAACCTCAGGTTTTTAAGCTGTTTGTGCAGTTCCCCATCTTTCTCTGATTTCGCTCATGAGGGATGATGCCGACAGAGGTTTGCGGGACGAGGGGGCTCTTCCCCCTCGGGATTTGGGAGTGGCGGGAATGGTTTAGGGGGAGTCCAGCCCGGTTTGAACTGGGAACCGCTCCTGGACCGCGCTCCGCGGCCAGCCGCGTCCCGCCTCGGTACCGGGCTGGCGGCTTGTTCCCGCTCCCGATGAAGCACCATCTACGTGCACCTTCAGGAAAGCAAGGTTCTGTTAGCTCACTTCTGTCTGAAATCAAAAAGAAAGAAAGGGGGAGGTGGGGGGGTAAAGAAAAACCTCTTAAAGTTTCTCAGGTAAAGCTCGGCTTTCCTTTGGTCATTACTCAAATGAAGAACAGCGTCAATTAACTCCAAATTGGAAATGCCTGCCCGAAAAGAATAATGATAATTCCCTGCCGTCCCCTAAGAGGTAGTTGCAGGATGGCACTTAGTGCGTGTGGTCCCTAATGACAGGATTGCTGCCCTGCCCGGGGTTTGGCTCTCCCTGCCCCGCTGGCTTCGCTCTGAGCTCGGGCAGCGACGCCGGGCACGGCTGTCCTGCCCAAACCTTCCCCCTCTTCCCTCGCTCGCTGCCCTCAGCCTCACGGGGTTTACACCTCCCACAGCCGGCACAGTATGACCACACCGTGAAAACAGATTTAATTACCCCCGTCCCTCGATAAGAGGGCAGGGGCCTCTCAGCAACAGGTAAGCGAGAGTACCCGCAGTTCTTCAAGGCTCTTTAACCGATAACAGAGGAAGCAGGACAGAGGGGTCACTTTCGGTAAGACAGGGTGTGAGGGAAGCGGGACATTAAAAAAGAGGTGCATAGAGATATTTTGGCAAGAGTTTAAGGTGGCTGCGAGGGGAGCGAGACCCCCGCGGAGAAACGGGACAGCTGCTTCTCCTCGGCTTCTTGCTCGATCTTTTCAAGCTGTCCCCAAAAGCCCCTCAAGCCGTCTCTCGGAGCGACTCCAGCTCTGGGACCGCGGCTGTGGGGCCGATGCGAGTTGCTCTTCTGGGGAACGGGTCGCCTGGGGCCGTGCGGGGGATGCTGCGGAGGATGCTCGGCTGTGCGGCCAGGAGGGCTCGGCCGTGTGCGGGGCAGCGGGGCAGCCTCCCCCGCTTATCCCATCGCTGAGGGCACGGCGGGAGCGGGCGCTGCGCGGTAGGGCAACAACCAGAGCCCGAGCAAGCCCTGGCAGGGCCCGTGTGGGGGCTCAGAGCCCGGGTGGGGCGCCCGCCGCCAGCCCGGGGCGTCCCCGCTCAGCAGCCGCTGGGGCCGGGGCTCTGCGGCGGGCGGGCAGGGCTGACCCTGCACGGCCGGAGGGGAGGGTCTGCGGCCTGACCCGAAAGGAGGGAGCTCCCCCTTCCCTCCCCTCCCCTCCCTTTCCTAGCCCTCCCCGGCTCTTTGTTCTTTGCCCCTTTGTTCTTCTCGAAGTTTCCAGGAGGGTTGCTGGTGCGGAGCAAAGTTGCCGAAAGCTGAGGAATTACATTAAGTGGATGTCTGAGCAAGGAAAGAGGATAGGGGTCCCTTCCCAGGGCTAAGAGCTATTCCCCAAATCCCGCCGCGTTGTCTGCTTGCGCAAGGGGTCGGTGTGGGGCGCTGGAGCCGGGCCGTGCTCGCAGTGATGCTGGGGCAGAAGAGCCTCCTGCGGCCACAGCACCAAGGGATCGGGCACCCCCTTCGCCATTTCAACGCGTTTTGGGGAACAAGCATCCTTTCTGGTGGGAAAGGGAAGAAAATAATAGTAATTGGTGAACATGTCGTAATGAGATGAGGCAGTAGGTGACAGAAATGAAGGTTTTCTGAATGCTAGATTTTAGGGAACACATATTGGTTTGGGATGCACAATCTTAGAATGGCTGTGTCTCCGTCACTTTCTTTTTGCTGCTTTTCGTGTTTGCTTGATAGGGCTCTGGTTAAGTGTTGTCAGGAGTTAAACAAGTTGGAGCTTAATTTCAAAGCAGATGGACTGTCTTCATAGAGCAGCATCACAGCTTAAAATACAGGTTTAATGTGGTTAATAGGAGATCACAGCATGGTTCAGCAGTGATAATAATACCAAAACTTCCTTGGAAAAGGAAAACTCCTTTATTTGGTACAACGTGGAGTAGCCTGATCTCCTCTTTACTAATCATTATTAAATGTTAGAGAACTTATTTTGGAAGCTTATTTTGGCTTCCACTAAGAAATCCCAAATGACTTCACAAATATCTGTTATCACAGGATTCTTACCTCTCCTCCTGATACATGAAAGTAGGAAAACACTTTATTTGCGTGAGCTAGGTATTAGGAAAGCTGATGCGAAAAAAGAAGTTTTGATATGGTGCACTGGAGGTCACAGCAGGTTACAGACAGAGCCAGATCAGCATCCTCAACTCCAGCACGCTTCCCTAACAGTGCTGCTGTGCCCCCACCTTTATATCCAAGGATATCATGGATGATTGTAGCACTTCAGCATTTGCTGAAAAGCTGCATGAATCTAATTCTTGTAACCATGAGAATGTTCACAAATATTTGCTGTTTTTACATAGGTAGAGATCCTATAAAATTATTTAATAGAATATAATATTTGCAGTAGTTTTGCATCACATTAAAATGTCACAAATGTTTATTATGATGTGCGAAATTTCCAGAATTTGTATAATTTTTTTTCTGGTATTCAACAAAGTTGAGAAATGAGGTTAGATCAGATTGGCTTGACTAAACAAATGTTCTAGACTGCAATTTTTAAAATGTGAATACACTTTTAGGGATAAGCCCATCCTTTTGGCAGACGTTAAACCTATTTTTCCAATGAAATGGGGTTCAATTTGAGGTGATGTGAGGCTTTGTTTTTTCTGATGTTGAGGACATACAAGCCCAGTGAGAAATTTGGGAACCTTGCAGCTGTAAAACACAGCTTAGCTATTTCAAGGTGGCAACTCATACACAGAAAATGTCCATGAAAACTTTGACCTTTATTATTGAGAACTGTGATTCAGAGTTGAATGTACTAATTGGTCAGTAGCAAATTAGAGAAAGATATAGACATTGCATCAGATACTTTGGTGGTAGTGCGATTTTCTAGCTGTGTCTCCACACACAAGTCTCCGGACTTATTGTTTAAATCCAGAGGCCAGCAGCACTACTTATTGTTCTGTTTATATCCAGCGCTCATAATGTGGTGTTGCAATATCCAGGTAAAAATGTTCAATGCCATTTAGAACAAGGAATCCGCCTCGAGCAATGCTGTAATCAGTAATAGCCAACGTTACTGAGAGCAACAGCTTC